AAGAAAAAGATAATTTATAGAATCTATTTTTATTTTCAATTTATACATAAACCACATTTAAAGTGGGTTTTTATTGCAATCAACAACTTCCTACTCAAATTTTCACTAAAAAACTAATACTAAACTTTAAAAAGTCAAGTTCAAATTACGTGAGTTGTATCCTAACAAGTCCTAAACATTACAAAGAAAGTCATGTACATTGAATGCGAATTTTTAAAAGGTAATTTTGGGTTTTCAGTGAAAATTTTGACCGGAGGTGGTTGATTGCAATAAAAACAATTTTAACTGCAGAAACATCGAATTGCTTGCTGTATTCTGATTCCAAATAAAATCCAAAAAAAGGGGGAGCACTCCAAAAGTAAGCACACCTTACTTATATAAGCACAAAGAGGCACACCAAGAAATTTTAGATGTAATAAGTTCAGAAAATTAACGGACGTATGTGCCTTTGATCTATTATTTTAAGGGGCTTATTGGGCCGAAAGCCCACTATGCTCCGTTCTATTATAATGCGATCCCCCTTTCCCGCGGAGAAAGAAAACAAGAGATCCCTCCCCAAAAATCAAGAACTTGCGTTTTCCGTTTGGTTTTTTCGATAATGGCCCCTTAAACCTTTATTTGTTCGAGAAGTTGCCCCTAGAATCTTGTTAGTTCTTTCCAGTGGGTTCTCTCCGATTGAACTCTCCAGTTAGTTGGCGTTAGATGTGAAGGAATGTTAACCCACACTACAGAATGACCAATTTGGAAGAACAAATAAGATTTGAGAGAGTTAACAGCAATTTCAATTATTTGATGGACTTATTCAAAATATTGAAAGATGCTAGGTATCAATATCGAATAGAACCAAACATGTTTAGTGTAACTCCATCCACTGCTAGTGAAGCCATGCACACAAGCTGTTTGTTGTATTGCCCCTGTGGTCTTCAATCGCCACTGTCAGTTGTTGAGCAATTAGCACATCAAATTTATAGCTATAATTTTTAATTTACAAAAATGTGATCATTATTGACATAGAATTTTGAATGAATGGATGCAGATATTGGGGCTGGACATTTGTGCTGATACCATTGTGGGAGATGAGATGAAACGAGGAATTTCGGGTGGAGAGAAGAAGCGGGTTACAACTGGTTTGATCTACTTCTTCAATACCCATTTGTAGATTATCATACTAGATATATAACAAGCAATTAACATGATTTATTTGAAACAACAGTATTATAAGTAAATCATTGTTCAAAGTTGGGAAATTTCAATTTGGTCTTATGAATTATTGTTTCAAATCTACCCTGACAATGAGTTCTTCTGAGGTTAGTGATTTCACAGAAATTCTGTAGTACTCTCTTCAAATATATTGCACACATACAGCCTCATTCACACTGCCTGGACTGGAGATAGGTGTCACTCTATCAACTGTGGAAAAAAGCTCTTGCGTAAATGGTAAACAAGTAAGGAGACGGTTTCTGGATCGTCTCGATTTGGATCCTTAAATCGAACTCCTGCGTGGGGCTCAATGCACCATTAATCCTGCTATTAACCTGAGCTTATGAATACGGTCAATACAATTATTCCTATTGAGTAATATTATGTTCATAGGTACACCCATTAAGTTTTTTGTTCTAGAGCTCACAGGTTGAAGTTTACTGGTACCGTAAAGTTATTACCTCATGAAAATTATTATTGCCTCCCTCTGACAAACATTTCATCAAATTCTTGAAGGTGAGATGATTGTTGGGCCCTCGAAGACCCTTTTCATGGATGAGATATCTAGTGGTCTGGACAGCTCCACCACCTTCCAAATTGTAAAATGCCTGCAACAGATTGCCCGTCTGAGGGAGGCCACCATATTGATGTCGCTCCTTCAACCAGCACCTGAGACATTCGAACTATTTGATGACATCATCATCCTAACTGAGGGTCAGATTGTATATCAGGGACCCCGAGAGTTGGCTTCGGAGTTCTTCGAAACCTGTGGCTTTCGTTGCCCCGAGAGGAAAGGCACTGCTGACTTCTTACAAGAGGTAATTTTGAAAAAATAAGTGTTAGTTGCTTCCTGAGTGATATTTTTTTAATAACTCTTTTAAACCCAGGAGGCTTTTGTCAAAAAACCAAAATTCTCTTTCTGAAGGTAAAAAAGTTAGAAAAGAAATTCACTCTGGAGGCCTATCTGCAAAAATTGATTACAGGCGGTCTATCCAGTATCCACAATTGGGTGATAATATAGGGGGTCTATCTGCAATTAGCCCAAAAAATAAAAATAAATATTATTTCAATGCCCATATTTACTAGTCGGGCATTTGACTCGTGTTCTGCTTTCATTAGGGAATATAATTATGCTTTTATTTATTCCCTCTATTAATTTAGTTATTTGTCACAACCACCGTAATAGGTGATATCAAGAAAGGATCAAGAGCAGTATTGGGCAGACAAGAGCAAGCCCTACAGCTACGTATCCGTCTCCCAATTTGCTGAAAACTTTAAGAAATTTCACGTTGCGCTTCAATTAGAGAAGGAACTCTCAATCCCCTTTGACAAGAGCTGCGGCCATAAAGCTTCTCTCGTCTTCTCAAAGCACTCTGTTTCTTATTCTGAGCTCCTTGAAGCCTCCTTTGCAAAAGAGTGGCTTCTCATCAAGCGCAATGCCTTTGTCTACATTTTCAAAACTGTCCAAGTGAGCTACCACCTTACTGTATTATATCTCAGCTAGTGGTGGGGCTGATACAACAACATCTTTTTTTTTTTTTTTTTTTAAAAAAAACATCATAGTAGGTGTCATTGCCTCGACGGTGTTCATAAGAACTAAGATGAGTACAGAAAATGAAGAGGATGGAACCATTTACATTGGAGCTCTTCTGTTCAGCTTGATCATCAACTTGTTTAATGGGTTCATAGAGCTGTCCCTGACTCTCGTAAGGCTCCCTGTGCTATACAAGCATAGGGATCTTCTCTTTTATCCAGCATGGGTCTATACCCTTCCAAATTTTCTTCTCAGGATTCCCATTTCTGTTTTCGACTCTCTTGTTTGGGTTATTGTGACCTATTACTCAATGGGATTTGCCCCAGAAGCTAGCAGGTAGCTATTATTGGGGTATTGTATATTCTAAGCTCAGTGAAGTACTTTGTGCTTGTGTTAAAAATAGGTTACTGTTTTGCAGGTTCTTCAAGCAGATTCTTCTTGTCTTTCTAATTCAGCAGATGGCAGCAGGGCTCTTCAGGGTGACGGCAGGGCTTTGTAGGACAATGACCATAGCTAGCACTGGAGGAGTTCTCTCTCTCCTTATCATGCTTGTCCTCGGGGGATTTATCCTACCAAGAGGTTCAAAATCCTTGAACTTGTATTATCATTCTGTTCAAGTTTTCTTAGTTTTGGGAGTCATCTGTACAATTATAGACTAATAATGCCATAGAGAATGCCTTCCACCTTTTGAAGTTTATCTATCGAAAAACCCGCAAAGTTCCATAATTACTAAAAGAAACCTAGAGAACTTTATCTATTGCCTTATTGTAACGAAACAATATAATTCACATCATATCTAAGTTGCCTTCAATCCCTTTTTCTTAAAGGAATGGTGATCTGTTGAGCTTTAAACTCAGGATTACTTGCATTCAGTTGCTCTTGCAGAAACAGTCACAGAGATGGAAATCAAGAATGATTTTATTCATTGGTCTTTCATTAGAATTGACGTCGTAGAAATAATTGACTATCTTCTTCTCATAAGAAAAGTACTCGGAATTTAAAATTTTCTAACTGCTGAAATAAACTAGGAATACACATTATCACTAGAGGTATTAATTGCATGATGATTTATTTGATTCAATCTCATATTTTCTTCTCATGAACTTGAAAGTGGAGCTTCTTACAATAAATAGGCAAAGATCAAGTGTTTTGGGGGCAAAAAATAAAACTCAATATTTCTTTTAGAAGGGTCGCTGTGAAATAAGGGTGGTCTGTTATAATAGACACTTGTAGTTTATTTTACTGATTTTTCTATGTTAGAGTTGTGACTCTATAGGACTTTCATCTACACCCATCGAGATACCCAGTGGAAACTCAAAACCCTGTTAAATTCGATTATCAGTAGGATGATTAATATACTTTCCTGACTATTTTTTTTTTCTAAATATATTCTGTTTATATTTTTAATAGACCTGATTCCAAAGTGGTGGATATGGGGATATTGGATTTCACCGCTGCAGTATGGATTTAGTGCTCTTGCAGTAAATGAGTTGTTGGCTCCTAGGTGGATGAACAAATTTGTAAGTTCCTAGTCATTCATTGAGGTAGAAATTTGGTCTTTTTTCAGATCATAAAGTGGATCTGTGTATGTGAGTCATGGGAAATTGCTGGTTCAGGTCTGGATATGGTCTTCGAAATTCAGAATATTGTTGTTATGTTATGTATTTTCGTGAATTTTGTAGTTGTTAACTAGTATTTATAATGACACAGACAACTGATGGTAGGAGATTAGGGGTGGCAGTACTTGAGAATGCCAGTGTGTTCCCTGAGAAGAAGTGGTTCTGGATTGGAGTTGCGGCGCTTCTAGGTTTCACTATCCTCTTCAACGTCCTCTTCACCCTTGCACTCATGTTTCTAGACCGTAAGTAACTATTCTGATGATGGATACTTTTTTACACATCTATTTGGTTATGAGGACCGATTAAAATGTTTGTGTTTTCTGCTGTCATTGGATAATAGCTTTTCGAAAACCACAAGCTATTATACCTGAAGAAAAATCTATGGTTGACATGGATGAAACTGAGGAGCTTCCAAGGATTAAACGAATGGAACCTGATGAAAATTCAACATTACGAACTTTATCAGTGAAGGATGATAGCAACACCAGTAAGCTGCTCAAAGAACACAGTTCAATTTTTGGCAAAATCTCCATTTAATTTGCGGTGGATATAACTATAACTAGGGAGTAACAAATTGTGATGCCTATTGATGCAGGAACCGATGTGGTTACTCCGAAGAGGGGAATGGTTCTTCCATTCCTACCCTTATCCATGTCTTTTGATGAAGTAAATTATTTTGTTGACATGCCAGCAGTAGGTTCCTCAATTTTGTTCTTCTTCTTCTTCTTCCTGACCTATCATCAGATACTTTAGAAATGTCCACGTGCATCCTAGTTATTGCTCATCTTATACCTAGAGGAGAGTGGGACATTTTATTCCGTTAGGAAATGTAAATTATTATTATTTTGTCTTGATAGGAAATGAAACAACAAGGGATTAATGAAGACAAACTCCAGCTTCTAAAGGGTGTAACTGGAGCTTTTCGGCCTGGAGTCTTGACCGCACTTATGGGAGTAAGTGGGGCCGGAAAGACAACTCTTATGGATGTTTTGGCTGGAAGAAAGACCGGTGGTTATATGGAAGGAGATATCAGGATCTCCGGTTACCCCAAGAACCAAGCTACTTATGCAAGGATTTCCGGATATTGTGAACAAAATGATATCCATTCTCCTCAGGTCACTGTTAGAGAGTCTTTGATATACTCTGCATTTCTTCGTCTTCCTAAGGAAGTTATTGATGAAGACAAGATGGTCAGAACTAATGCTTTAAAAATTATCGTTTTAAAGTTCGCTCACATAGTCGGTCACACCACGCTAGATTGAGAATTTTCTCTTTTCTACAGAAATTTGTCGATGAAGTTATGGATTTAGTAGAACTCAAGGATCTAGAGGATGCCATTGTGGGACTTCCCGGTGTCAGTGGTCTGTCAACAGAACAAAGGAAAAGGTTAACAATAGCAGTTGAGCTTGTTGCTAATCCTTCAATCATCTTCATGGATGAACCGACCTCAGGACTCGATGCAAGGGCAGCAGCTATTGTTATGAGAACCGTCAGGAACACAGTTGACACTGGACGAACAGTTGTGTGCACAATCCATCAGCCAAGTATCGACATATTTGAATCCTTTGATGAGGTAATGGATATCCCAAGTTCATGCATTTCCTTCATATTCATTCTTGATACCCTTTTGATTTCATGAGGCTTTGTGCTTGTTTACATGCTCACATTATTTTTTAATTGTTTCCTTCCCTCTTTCTTTTCCAAAAGCTCCTGGTAATGAAGAGAGGAGGCCAACTAATATACTTTGGACCTTTGGGCCAAAACTCACATGAGGTCATAGAATATTTTGAGGTATGCTCCTACAAATGATTTTCACATGTCCAACCGTTATTATGCACATACATGCATATATAGGCGCAGTAGATTTTTTTTTTCCTTTTCACATACAGAAATTAAAACTGAGAACTCCTAAATGAGAGCTTTTGTAAGAACCCTGTATCAAGATCCACATCTCCAAATTAGTCATTAAATGAGAAGCCTAATTGATGGGGAACAGAAGCATAGCGATCTGTAGAGATTGATTACTTGGAAATATAGAAACCGCACTCTTCATTTAAGAATAAAAAATGATACAAATGCAAACTTCACATCCGGAGTTTCACATGTCATCACCTCACATGCCTAATACTAGCGGTAATTCACATGCAGATTTCTCACTAACATCCTTCTCCACTTCCCTAAAATGAAAAGGTACATCATTATTTATAAAACTAAAACAAAATCATAATCCTAGCTAATGGATAACATTAAGCCACACATCCTAATAAAATAAAAGATTCATTCCTGACTATTACAACAAACCCAATTCTAAATCCCAATCCAACCAAAAAATAAAAACTTTTAGAAGAAATCCTAATATAATATTCATCAAATCTTTTGCAAGACTTAGATGTGAATCTGTTTTGAAACAGACTGTTCTCTTTATTGTTAGACCATTTATGATTTCTACATCATATGTCTTAATCATCTAAACAACGGTTCATTATTATTGAGTTCTTACAAACTTATTTGAAAACTTGTTCTCACCAAGATCACACACAAATATACACACATGTATGCACAGAAAAAAAAATGCTGTTCACAGAAGAAAACTTCAAGTTTAATATAGTATGTTTTTTACTTTTAAGTTTCGTTGAGTGCCTATAAGTGTATTATAGGTATGGTAACCTGCAGATAACATATCATCCCATCCCCCCCCCCCACCCCCCAACACACACACACACACACAAAAAATCCCTTCAGTTGTGCTTACCACCCCTCACCTACTTGAATAGCAGTTAACTCCCCTAGAATCAAAATGGAAAGGGTGGTTATCCGCAATTTTATTCTTCTCAAAATGAGAATCAGGGGGGTGCTAATTTCTGGTAAAATAATGGACTGATAACTAATAAGTGCAACATAGTTATGGAGAAAAAATTTCACACTCATGGCACATGCATGTTTTATAGTATAAATAAAATAAAATAAAATAAAAAATAACTATCACTGTTTTGTTGCTCCCAGTCAATTCCTGGAGTTCCCAAAATAAAGGAAAAATACAACCCTGCAACATGGATGCTAGAAGCCAGTTCAATCTCTGCTGAAGTAAGTTTTGAGATTGATTTTGCAGAGTACTACACGTCATCAGAATTATACAGGTAAGTGATTGAAGCCTTCATTTGAATCCCTTCTACAGAAGAAGCTATACATTTGGGTAAATTTGGCCCATTTTGAGATAACTCCTAAAAGGTTTGGAACCGTCACTAAACCCCCAGTACCTTTTCAGGTAAACTCCAATTAGGGGTCATCTGAAAATGGATTCGGAAAAATGCAAAAGTTTTTGGGGGTTAAGTGAGGTTTCTGACTTCTTGGGGGTTATCTCAAAATGGACCAAACGTCTTGGTTTTTTCCGTGAAATTTATCCTATATAGTTTATACATCTGTCAGTAATTTCAACATTCTCTATCAGGCGTAACAAAGCCCTGATCGAGGAGCTGAGTAAACCTGCACCTGGAACAAGCGACCTCCACTTCCCAATGCAGTATTGTGAATCTACGTTTGGGCAGTTTAAAGCTTGCCTATGGAAACAATGGTTAACTTATTGGAGGAGTCCAGATTATAACTTTGTCAGATTTTTCTTCTCTATCGTAACTGCTCTGCTTCTAGGAACCATCTTTTGGAGGGTTGGTCACAGAAGGTAATATTAGCTTCATTTGCTAACATTTTATGAATTTCAAAGCGTTGCAGTAATTTCATTTTTGCAACTTGGTCCAGAGAGAATGCAAATGATCTTAGGATTGTCATTGGATCTATGTTTCTGTCAGTTTTGTTTGTGGGCATCAATAACTGCTCAACTGTCCAACCAGTTGTAGCAACTGAAAGGACGGTCTTTTATCGCGAAAGGGCAGCTGGGATGTACTCTGCTTTACCTTATGCTATGTCGCAGGTAATGAAAGAATTTCGACATCTTGTGCTCAATTCTTGTACAGGAATAACATGAACTATATATTTGGGTTCATTGCAGACACACCCTCTGTAGTAAGGAGAGCATATCCACTACTATTCCTAAACTATTTTGTTAGCACTTAAATCCTCTGGACCCCAAACCCTATTATTTATCCCGTTGGTTTAGATGTCAGGTGTGCGCTAAATTACCTTCGCCATCAGTCTAACCGAGAAAAACTAAAATGCCCTCTAAATTGAGGCAAAAGCAGCACCATCTGAGGTTCAGGGGTTGTAAGCACTAATAAAATAGTTTATGGGTATAGGTGGCTACACTGCCATAGTAGGGGGTGTATCTGCAATTAACCCTATTTTTTTAATTAATACATAGATCAATTTCTTTCCTCGAAATACATCTAGTAACATGGCTCTATGTAAACCGAAGTTTAATAATTATCATCTTTTAAAGCTGTTTTCTTCTTTTGTGATTGCAGGTGGTTGTCGAAATCCCATATGTCTTTCTCCAGAGCTTGCTTTATACTGTAATAGTTTACTCCATGATGAGCTTTGAATGGACAGCAGCAAAGTTTGCTTGGTTCTTCTATATCTGCTTCTTCTCGTTCTTGTACTTCACGTACTACGGAATGATGACAGTGTCCATCTCACCCAACCATGAAGTTGCTGCAATCCTTGCATCAACATTTTACACGCTCTTCTATCTTTTCTCGGGCTTTTTCATCCCTAGACCTGTGAGTTTCTTCTACATAACCTACTTCTTAGTAAATTGCAGATAACCTCACTCACTTATACTTTCAGTAGCACTCATCTCTCCTCAACTCTTTTACTAGCCATTACTATTCTTTGATACGCAAATTAAGAATGATAAAGTGCTAAATGGCCCTCCTTTCCCTTGTTAATTAAAAAAAGGGGAGATACGTACTAATTAATGAGTTGAGGGGTGATAAGTGCTATTGAAGGTGTAGGTGAGGGCGGTAATATGCACTAGACCCGTCTGCTGCATAATGACTATGACTACTGATGATTGCTGGATATTTCTTGATTGCAGAGAATTCCAAAATGGTGGATCTGGTATTATTGGATTTGTCCAACAGCGTGGACAGTATACGGGCTGATAGTTTCTCAATATGGAGACCTTGAGGACGTAATCATGGTTTCCGGTCAGCCAAACCAGACGATAAAATTCTATGTGAAGGATCATTTTGGATACGATACTAATTTGATGGGAGCAGTGGCTGTAGTTCTCGTAGGGTTTGCTGTATTTTTCGCTTTAATGTTCGCCTTCTGTATCAAAAAACTAAATTTTCAACACAGGTAAGAAATTTACTGCGCAAAGTTTAGCAATGTGTTCAGTTTACTATTGAGTGTTGATCAAGGCCTTCACTGTTTATTATTTGTGGAGGCTAAAGTGCATGAGGGCTCCCATGTATTTTTCATATACTCTCAGCTTCTGTACATGTGTGTGTGTCCTGGAGTTTTTGTGTATATTATCTGTCCTTATGAAAAGTGTTTTTCCCATCTATCCACAGTAAACGGTGTAAGCTTTGTTAACCTGCCAATAAAATGAAAACCTTCACTCCGGTAGACTTAAGTACGAAATTGTTCAACTAATTTGGCATTATTATGAGGAATTCTGTAAAAGACACATTACTTCCAATCAATTGTGGAATAAGGTGGAAGCGCAAACAAGATTCTAGCCCAATGTGTATCTGAGACATCAGTTTGTATAACTAATTGTGGCTGGTAAAGGACTTTTTGTTCATTTATTTCCTTTTTGATGTTGGCAATTTCTTGTAATTGCTCGTCATTAAGTGTAATTTTAATTTTATCAGTGTCCCATCGGGTCACGCTTTTATTATTTATTTCCTTATATTTCTTTTGTTCTTCGGTAAGTTTATTCTGAAGCGAAGACATATTCTCAAAGAGATTGGGTATAATCCTTCTTGCATAATTTAGTAAGCCGAAAAAACTTCGTAGATCTTTTAGAGCTTCAAAATTATCTTTGAACTCTTTGATCTTTGTGATAATGTGGTCTTGCAATTCAATGCGACCACTTTTAATTCTTTTCCCTAAAAATTCGATATCTTTTGTCATAAGAGTTATCTTTTTAGGGGACAAAATAATACCACGATTGAGCAATAGCTGGGCTACTGCTATCAAATGCCATTTGTGTTCTTCCTTAGTTTTAGAGAACACAAGAATGTCATCTATATAGACAACAACAAACATTAGGTGCCCAAATATATTATTCATCCATTTTTAAAATATTTGTGAAGCATTTTTTTTAGTTCAAATGGCATAACGTCCCAGACATTACTTTCAATCAGTTGTCGAACAAGTGCATACAAACTGATTAGAACTAAGCGTTATATAATGAGCCCAATATGTGAATAGGGCCCGACCAATTTTCTTACCCGTTGGAGCATCAAAGTTGATTGAATTTTTTTTCTTTCTCTTCTTTTTTTAAATTTTTATTTTTTGGCGAAAATAGAGATTCTGGTTTAATTAAATTTTAGTGGCCAGGCCATTTTTTTCCATAAATATTTTTAGTCTATTTTAGGGACGGTTTCGAACTAATTAAACTTGACAAGAAGAATGACTAATTTACCAAAGTACATTACCAATTGTATTGCGAACGAGTCGCAAATCTGTATAGAGAGAAATAATTAATGAATATCGAATTTGCAGCATGAGTCTAGCTTAATTAGGTGATAAAAGAACAGAAACTCGAATCCAAACTATAGCCCTTAATTTAATATAAATAAAATGAAAAAGAAAAAGAAAAAGGGGGAACGAAAGAGAACCACTAGGTGAGAACATGGGCCAAGATGGTACAAGAAAGGACACATTTTCTCTTTTAGAACGCTTTAATTTTATATGTTTTCAGGAGTCCCATGACACAATTGGACGCCCTAAGTAATGGAGTAGAAACTTGCCAAAATATAACGGAACGCAAAACAAAACTTATCGATCCACAACATAAAAATTGAAGAAGTCCATGAAGGCACGTCTTGATCCTCTCCGAAACTCTTCTTATGGGGCAAGACAAAGTGCTTCGTTTGGTCCACAATTTGGTCTTCAGAAAGCTATTAATGAACGGTGGGATATGGTTTCTAGAAGCGTAGACAATTTTACGGCTGAGCTAAGTTTAGACTGAACTGTACAAGTGTACCAAGAGCCTCATTTTCCTCGCCACATTTACTTGATGAGCTAGTGAGTGAAGATGCTTGATGTGCCGAATGACGAATACGTACGAAAGTCCATTTGTCCACACAATAATTTCTCTTCCACGAAAACGGATGGAGCATGCATGTCTCCTTAAAAAAAGATGGAATCAAATATAGAACAGAAGTAGATGCATAATTTTGGACCTCTCGTTTCACGAAGTGAGATCAGATGAATTAATGTGAGGTTGATGTGATGCCGATACTTTGTTAACTCTTCGTAATTCATTTAGCAAAATGAGGTGCTCGTGTCCATTTTTCACGAGCACAAATTAACTCCGTATATATGTATTTATCCATAGGCTAAGTTATCAGATTGGTATACAAAATAGAACCTAATAATTAACACGATCGGTATTTTTTTTTAAACTCCGGCAACAACAAAATATTAAAACTTACACGATTGGACAAATAGACCAAATAACTCGCCACCAGCCTTTCTTTCTCCGGCATTCACTCACCTGACCAACCGTTTATTCAAACAGCTTACCAAATCATGAGGATCAAAACTCATGTATATTATAGAAACTATAAAATATATCCACCCTTTGTTCTGAAAATAAATGATTTGTGAGGATCTTAGAAACCAGTTCTTTGAATTGTGAAATAAAACTTTTCAAACTAAATGATTCTGACGCACTTATGTTTGATGATGTATAAATCAAAATGAACGGTTTGGACTAATACATGGTTTTACAAGCAGATATATACTTGTTAATTATACCTCGTTGTGTATTATAATCTTACTCGTATACCTGCATACATATATACACACATACATACACATATGTATGTATGTATGCACATATATGTTTATCTATATTTATCTATCTATGTATGTATGTATATATAATACGAGTTGATGGATTCTTTACCAAATTTTCTCGATGGATTCTTTACCAAATTTTATCGATTCAAATATCATCACCAGACTAGTTTTAAGTAGTATCCAAATGAGTCCGTTCCGTTTTCTCTCTAAAAACACGTAACACTTCTCTCCCCCTCCCTCTTGACGGGCCTCTATCGGCCAGATGTAAAACCCCGTAAATTTGAGAATATTATGATTAATATTGATAAATAATTTTTAATTATGATAAATATCATTTAATGATGGATGAGTATGGTAGTAATTGATTTGAGATCAACTAGGCGTGTGTATGAGAGTATACAAGTGTTAAACATGCACAAAACGAGTGGAAACATGCACACATGCAAAAATAAAATGACTCAGTCAGACCTTTGGTCGGTCGACTGATGGTAAATCTTCAGTCGATCGATAGGCACCTATCAGTCGACTGATGGCAACCCATCAGTCGACCGACGGGCAGTTTTCCAGTTTGACCGGGTTTCTGTTTTCGGGTCTATTGTTTGGAATCGGATTTGTTCGTACATATATATATATATGTATATTTCACGAATTCCCCCTCTTTTCTTACTCATATCTAAGCCCTAGCAGCAGCCATACCCTCTCTCAAAACCCTAATGTTTGTTGGAAATTTGCAGTAAAAGGACAATGAAAGAAAAATTGACTTGTATTCTCTCAAAATCAATTACAATTTGGATTCCGATTACAAAAGAGAGGAGAATAAATTTAGTTCTCCCCTTTGTGTTTAAAACTGGGTTCTTCACGGTGGCGATGGAGTGCCTCCCTCGAATGCTCGCGTCGAGTTTGCTCTCCGTTGACGATCCGACGTCTTGATTCACTGGAACGATGTCTCCACCTCACGATTTGACGTTGTGGAGAACTTGCGTGGCAAGTTTTAGAACTCTGGACGAGTTGATAACTCTGAATGAGTTTAAACTCTTGAAAAAGAGTTGATTTGAACTGAAAGTTCGATTGATAAGCCAAGGATGAAGAAGCTCCTATTATCGATCTCCAAAATCCCAGCCGAAGGATGAAGGCGCTTCTTTGCTACCAAGCTTGCTCTTGACCGAATCTCCCTCTGTTGATGAGACAAAATCCCCTCCCTTAACTCATGCGTTCTGGAATTGGAGACGCACAGGTCGCTTGTGCGTTGAAATTCAACTCTGCATCAAGAGTTTGGGACGCATGGTTGAGTTTGTTGAAGAACGCACGTTATGTGTGCGTTTGTGCTTTAACTCTGCGTCACAGAGTTAGATGTCTGCTGGAGAACGCACAGTCCGTGTGCGTTTTGTGTTTGGGAGACGCAGAGGTGGGTTCTGCATGGACTCTGCACTTTGAGTCCACGAACTCTGCGTTTGGAATCTGGAACGCAGTCACGACCTCTATGTTTTGAATCTGGAACGCAGTCACGACCTCTGCGTTTTGAATCTGGAACGCAGTCACGACCTCTGCGTTTTGAATCTGGAACGCAGTTACGACCTCTGCGTTTTGAATCTCAAATGAGGTCACGACCTCTGCGTTTTGAATCTTGGATGCAGAGGTGATCCTTAGGTGGGCTCGACGAACTTCATGCTAAGTCCAATGCTCAGGCGAAGTGCAGTCTCACAGACGGACTTCAGAACATAACTTGCTGCGAAGAACATGTCATAACTTTCAAACCGTAAGTCGGAATTGGACGAATTATATATGAAAATCGGCTATCTCGACAAGACGGAGCCATCTAAACCAAGCTAAAGGCTTTGGTTTGCTTCCTTCGTTTCGCCAAATTCCTCACGGTTTGAGAGATATCTGCGTTTTAATATGAAGAGACCGTCAATTTGTAGTCTCTTTTGCTAGAGCGTTGCAAAGATCGTCACCTTGTAACCTTCGTCTTGGCTCCTTAAAAATATGAGAGTCATCAGATTGTAACTCCCGATGTTGATTGTGAAGGCTGTTGAATTAGAGCTTTCATCAGTTGTTGTGAAGGTCGTCGGATTGTAACCTTCAGCGATCTACGTTAAAGTCTTCAAATTATGGCCTTCTGGAAGTCGTCAGATTGTAACTTCCATCATCGGTATTTGATAGGGGATAAGCTATCTATTGTGATTTTTAGACAGCCTACAGAACCCCCTCCAAAATTTTCAAAAGTTCGCGGTTGACTAGGACGAATTTTCGGAATACTTTGGATCTCAACTCTGATCTTGGAGCTATAGAGTCTTTGGCATAAGGAGTTGTCCTCTGCACCCGCTTCAAAGGCATCTTGGTTGAAGAGATTTGACACGCAGGACCTATGAGAGGATGAGCTTCAAATAGAAACTATTGCGACGATACAAGCCACTCATGAGCAGAAGCTCTCAAATGCCACGCCACGGCTCACATCCATTCAGCTGATGGGCCCACAAACATTCATAGGATTTTTGGCAAACCCTCAGCCATCAACGGATTTGATAAG